TACCAATTTTTCCTATATGTGTCTCATAATTCCTGAAAAGTGAACATTTTAATGTAATAGACTGTGACAGTTTTGGAAATTAGATCTTCCCCATTTCTCCAGGATTTGGTGTCATTATTTAGGATTATTGTTTATTAACTATGTAGAATAATTATGTAAAGTCTGTATAATTGTTTTATGAAGTCACAGAAATGTCTAGTAGGTTAATTTACTGGAAACCTAATGTTTGGACAATGGTTTCATTAAATAATAGAAACTAGTAAGGCTCTTCATCTTTGCTGAAGGAGTTTGGATGTGTGCATGGGGATAGGGGTAGGCCTTTAATATTCAGATAGGAAATCGAAAATTTTGCCTTACCATTTTCTTTCTATTTGTGCAAGATTAGTCAGGGATGAGAAATTAGGTACTCAAATCCTTCATGAGCATACACACAACCCAGGGTATGCACAAATGCCTTCACATGCATGTCTTTCTAGATTTCTCAGGATATGTTGGAGCTTTTCAAAACCCCATGTAGGCATTCATTGTCTAATTGTCATCATCTGTCTCTTTTTTTAACCAAGAGTTAACCCCAACTTGTCAAGTTGTCTTAGGCCACCACAATTTTGAATAATTTGAGTCCTAAAATTAATATGAAAGAATAAATAACCCAGAATTACCAAAACAATACTGAACAGTAAGCCTGATGCTGGAAGCAATCATAAAACTTGATTTTAAATTGTAGAACAGAGTCATAGTAACAGAAATATCATGGTAATGGCATCAAAAGAGCCATGAATACTAATGGAATAGAACAGAAGACAAAGAGGTAAACCCACATAAATGTAGTTATCACCTATTAGACAAGGTGCCTGTAACATATATTGGAGAAAATATAGCCTTTTAACAAATAGGGCTGGGAAAATTAGATATCCATATGCAGCAGAATGAAATTTAACCCCTATCACTCACCCTGCTCAAAAGTCAGCTCAAAATGGATTAAAGACCTAGGAATTAGATCAGAAACCCTGCATTGGCTAGAAGATAATATAGGCTCAGCACTTCATCATATTGGCATAGGAACTGACTTCCTTAACAAGATTCCTAGAGATAGAGAAATAAAAGCAAGAATCAATAATTGAGACAGCATCAAATTTAAAAGCTTCTGCACAACAAAATAAATAATTGAGAGCATGAAGAGGGAGCCAACAGAATGTGAGAAAGTCTTTGCTAGTTTTCTGACTGGTGATTAATACCCACCATGAATAAGGACCTCAAAAAACTTAACACTAAAATCCACATTAATAAATGGCTAAATGATACAAATAGAAATTTCTCAAAAGAAAAATATAAATGGCCAACAAATATATTTTTAAAAATGTTCAACACCCTTAGCAATCATGGAAATGCAAATCAAAGTTACAATATATTGGGGCTGGGGATGTGGCTCAGTGGTAGAGCACTCACCTAGCACGTGGAAGGCACTGGGTTTGACCCTCAGCACCACATAAAAATAAATAAATAAAGGTATTGTGTCCAACTACAACTAAAAAAATACACTATATCATCCCCCTCCATTTATAATGGTACTCATTAAAATTTTTGGATGATTGTTTTCAACAAATATTCTCATGGTAGTGTTGTTTTCACAGAATGGGCTTCAAGTTGGGACAAGCAAATATAAGCCCTGACAATGAAGCTTTCAGGACCTGTCAAACTGGATAAATAGTGATAATTCTCTGAGGGGAAACCTTAAGAAACTCCAATAACATTTTTTCTCCTCCAGTGGCTGCTAAAATGTTGGTTTTCACAGTTATTGCAGCTGTAAGACTGTTGATTTTCAATGATGCTGGGGAGACATTGATATGATTAACATAACTTAATACAGCAATAAAGGTCACTGTTCTTACTTAGGTTCATTCCTTTTTCTAGAATAAACATTACTCAGATTGTGAAGCCTTTAGTTGATTTAGAGAATATTTGCTGTACATAGTCTGATGAAAAACTTATATCTAGAATATATAAAGATATCTTTCAGCTCAATGATAAGAAGAGAAACTATCTAGAGGTTATTAAAATCCAGTTGGCATATAAGATTGTACCATTATTTATCATGAAAGTGCAAATTAAAATTACAGAGAGATAACACTGTACTACCATTAAAATTTCTAAAATGAAAATAAATATGTAAATTGACAGGTGTTGGTAAGTATGTGGATCATCTAAAATTCTTATACATTTTTAATATAAATAAGAAATAGTAAATTACTTTGGAAGACATTTTGACCTTTTCTTATATAAGCATAATTTCCAGCTTACCATATAACCCACTTATTGATCTTCTAGGTATTTACCCATAAGAATTGAAAACGTATCCTCGAAAGTCTTTGCATGATATTTTTTTTCAGTACCAGGGATTGAACCCAGGGGTGCTTTACCACTGAGCTACATTCCTCAGTCCATTTTAATTTTTTTAAATTTTGAGATGGAGTCTCAATAAGTTGCTGAGAGTTTTGTTAAGATGCTGAGGCTGTCTTTAGTCTTGCTGCCCTCCTGCCTAAGCCTCCCGAGTAGCTGGGATTATTAGGTTTGCATCACTGAACTCAGCCTTGTGAATGTTTACAGCAGCTTTATTTACAATTATGAGAAACAAAAAAGACATAAATATGCATGAATAGATGAGTAAATGAACGCATTTTAATATATTTACACAGTGGAATATTACTTAGCAATAAAAAATGAATCGCTGATACACATGATAATGTGGATTAATTTTTGAAGTATTGTACAGACTTTAGTTGGACATAAAATGTATGTTTTATATGATTCCATTTTATGAAACTCTAGGAAAATCTAGTGTTGGTATTAGTCCATTTTCTGTTGCTAATAACACAACACTTATAGACTGGATATTTTAGAGAAAAGAGGTGTATTTTGGTTCATGGTTATGGAGGTACAAATATGAGTGGCCACATGCCTTCTTGTTTTCAGAGTTCTGAGGTGGTACAGGGCATCATCTGGCAAGGTCAAGAGACAGGGAGTGTGTGTGAATGTCTGTGTATCTCTGTAGTTTCTTCTTTTTCTTATAATTCTACCAGGTTCCAATCATGGGGGCTCTACCCTGATGAACTTGTCTAAATCTGAGTACCTCTGAGGCCCCCTATCCATACACCTTTATCAAATCAAGTTTCCACTCTTATAATAATCTAGAGCTTACATATTGTTTATTATCATTTGGAATGATAATAGATTGTGCTATAAATAGGACATTAAGACAACATAGTATCTTTTACATATATAAACTGTTCTATAAATAGGACATTGCGTAAATATGATATCTGGGATGCTGGGACAAAATGGGTTAACAGATATATGAATCCCCTAAGAATTGTGTTAAAAATGCAGTTTCTGATTTAGGAGGTCTTGGGTGGGGCTTCCAGGTGATGATGCTATTGCTGACCTAAGAATCATTCTTGGAGTAGCAAGAGTCAAGAGGTTGTTTGGCTTAGAGCCTTGGCAGAAAGTTATATTTAAAAATAATTTCTTAGCTGGGCTGAGTGGCCCATGCTTGTAATCCCAGCCAGCCTCAGCAACTAAGTGAGGCCCTAAGCAACTCAGTGAGACCCTGTCTCTAAATGAAATACAAAATAGGGCTGGGGATGTGGCTCAGTGGTCAAGTACTCGTGGTTTCAATCCCTGGTACAAAAAAATTCTCAAAACTGTAGCTAAATAGGATTTTATTTTATATCATTTAAAAATTTATATACTAGGGGCTGGGGTTGTGGCTTGGCAGTAGAGCACTTGCCTCGCATGTGTGAGGCACTGAATTCCATCCTCAGCACAACTTAAAAATAAGCAAAATAAAGCTGTAAAAAAGATAAAATAAAACTAATTAAAAATTATATACTAAAATTCAAAATCATTGACCAAAAATAAAAGCATTTATCCATTTAGATCACTCTGAGACACACACACACACACACACACACACACACAATATTCATTGCTTCCTTAGGCAAGGTCCCTTGGTAAATATCCTGTGAACAAGCTAAATCTGTTCTCCTTGTAGGCAATGTTTTAACCCAGGCTGTCATCTGGTTTAATGTGTAAAATGTCCAGGTTGCACGCATGTTGTCATGGGGAGGCCCCTGTAGAGGCAGACTGACCACCTGGCTTCTAGTTCTAGCACTGCCACCTAGGTCTGGGATCTTTAGTGCTATATCTCTAAAATGGAGATACATTCTTTCTTTGTAGATCGATTGTGCATATTTTTATATGAAACATAAGAATGGCATTTATTTCACTGCTTATAATGGAGGTTTAACAAATCCTTAAAGCAGGCCCTTTAGAGTGCAACTATAGGGCTTTGGGCTGTAGCTCAGTTACAGAGCACTTGCCTAGCACGTGTGAGGCACTGGGTTGGATCTTTAGCACTGCATAAACATAAAATAAATAAAAAGTAAAAAGAGTACAACTATAGCCAGGCATGGTGGTCCACACCTGTAATTATAGTGGTTCAGGAGGCTGAGGCAGGAGGATTGCAAATTCAAAGCCAGGCTCAGCAACTTAGCAAGGCCCTAAGCAATTTAGCATGAACCTGTCCCAATAAATAAATAAATAAATAAATAAGAAAGGGCTGGGGATGTGGCTTACTGGTAACACAACCCTGGGTTCAATCCTGGCACCAATATAAATAAAATACATAAATAAAAAGAGTGCAACTATGTAGTTTCAGGTCTTCCAGGCTTTGAGTAAAACTAGTCAGAGAGGAACAGGGTGTAGCCATGAAGCATATCCCCTAATGTTAAGAAGGACTTCACTAAGCCATCCCATTCTCCTGTTCTTTAATTTATAGTTTAGTTGCTTAAATTTCCTTCTGAAAGTATGATCTTTTGTTTGACTTCTTTAAGTGCAAGTTGTTACCTGTCCAGAACACTTCCTTTGTTCTCTATATACTCTAGGATGAAAGCAATTAAAGGGTAACAATGTTGACTATTTCTCCTGTCCTCCTTTCTTTGCAGATTACTCCTCTGCTGTTCAGAAATTTTCCCAGACGCTGCAGTCCTTTCAATTTGATTTTATTGGAGACACTCTGACTGACGATGAGATTAACATTGGTGAGTCTTCAGTTTCATGTGGCCATATACCTTTCTCTCTCTCTCTCTTTTTAAACCAAGGATTGAACCAGAGGTACTTTACCACTGAGCCACATTCCCAGCCCTTTTTATTTTTTATTCGTTTAGTTTTTAATACCTTTATTTTATTTATTTGTTTTTATGTGGTGCTGAGGATCAAACCCAGTGCCTTACATATGCAAGGCAAACGCTCTACCAACTGAGCCATAACTTCAGCCGCCCCCCCCCTTTATTTTTTTAACACAGGGTTTTGTTAAGTTGCTTAGGGCCTCAATAAATTGCTGAGATTGAGCTTTTGATCCTCCTGCCTCAGCCTCCCAAGATGTTGGGATTACAGGCATGGGCTACTGTGCCCTGTACCTCTTAAGGTAGGCCTGAGGCTGTGTGGCTTCCTTGGTTTGCAGATACTGAACACTTGCATGTCTTCATTTTGTCTGGTCCAGTGTCCAGTCTCTGGAAGGCTGCTTAGGAAAGATGAGGAAACTTTCTGTTAGTGATTTACTCACAACACAAGCAAACAAGAGCAGGCATGGTGGTGCATACCTGTAATCCCAGCACTCAAGAGGCAGAGGCAGGAGGATGGTTCCCCAGCCTCAAGAACTTAGCAAGAACCTGTCTCTAGATAAGATATAAAAAATGGCTGGGGATGTGGCTCAGTGGTTAAGGGCCCCTGGGTATATTAACCCCAGTACCAAAAGAAAAAATAAAAGCCCCAATCAAGACATCTGTAAACCTCCATTGAAGCCCTTGACTCAGTCTGCAGGGGGACTTTCCTTTAAAGCATCTAATGCAGTAAAATAAATATTTCTGTAGTGGATAATGTAAAGAGTGATTTTGTGTATTTTTTAAAATGACCTTTAAGTAGTGTTCTTATAATGAACAAATTCCCTGGGAAGCTTAAAAATTAGTGTTTATATAAGTACATGTTTTCGACAACAGGAAGTTGGCATCTCCCTTCGTAAATGGATTGAACAAATTGTTCCATTAGCTGTGTGATGTTGGAAAAGGTATTTTCCCTCTCTGAGTCTCATTTTTATCCTCTATAAAATGTGGTGAACATCTCAAAGATGTTACCAATGGCTGGGGTTGTGGCTCGGTGGAAGAGTGATTGCCTAGATGTGTGAGTCACTGGGTTTGATCCTTAGCACCACATAAATACATGAAATAAAGTCATTGTGTCTATCTACAACTAAAAATATTTTTTAAGTTTATTTTTTAGTTGTATACAATAATTTTATTTTTGTTTATTTATTTTTATGTGGTGCTGAGGATCAAACCAGGGCCTCGCACATGGTAGGAGAGCACTCTACCGCTGAACCACAACCCCAGCCTCCTAAAAATATTTTTTTAAAAAAGATGTTACCAAGATGAAATTAAACAGTGGAAGTAAACGAAACTCTGTGTTTGCTTTAGTTGTTATGAAGTTAAAGCAAGAGTCAACAAACTGTGGCCCTTGCACTAAGGGCAGTCTATCACCTATTTTTGTAAATCAAGTCTTATTGGAACACAGTCACCATTATTTTCAAGTATTATCTATGGGTATTTTTTTATGGTACAACAGCGGCATTGAGTGGTAGTGACAGTGATACATGGCCCTCAGTGACTAAAATGTTTACTTTCTGGCTGGTTAAGAAAACGTTTGCTGACCTTGAGTTAAAGGGTTAGTTTAAAACATTTTCCAGATGAGAACATTGAACCATAGAACTATTATGGAGATCTAATATTACTGGAAAATGCTAATGGTTACATTTATAAGTCCCAGAACTAAAATATAGAAGTGTATTATTATTAATAGGTGCCGGGCTGGGGATGTGGCTCAAGCGGTAGCGCGCTCGCCTGGCATGCGTGTGGCCCGGGTTCGATCCTCAGCACCACATACCAACAAAGATGTTGTGTCCGCCAAGAACTAAAAAATAAATATTAAAAATTCTCTCTCTCTCTCTCAAAAAAAATAGGTGCCTCCTGTAGTATATTTTAATAACAAAGTAAAAAATTATGATAACAAACAGGGTATTCCCTGCTCAGAAATAGCTTATTGGATATTGTTTTGTTCACTCTTGTTTCCCCTGCACATAAAGGAGTTCCTGGTATATAATAGGTGCTCAATTAATGTTTGCTAAATGAATAAATAATGGATATATTTGTATTATATTAATATAGAAGTTACACTTTATTTGTTTCAAAAATTTTACTATTACAATTAGAATTGCAATTATTATTTTTATGAGAGTAAGATTGGTAAATATTTTGGTTAACTGGCTAAGTGAGGTAGTTATTTGTATTTGGATTATTTTCCTGTTGATGCCCTTTCATTCTACTTCCATGTATCTATCCTTGTTCAAGGGCATTACTTATTAAAAAGACAGATTATGGCCTCTGGAGTCAGACAGCCCAAATTTGAATTTCAGCTCTGCAGATTATCAGCCTCATAACTTTTGAAAAGTGATGTCACCTCTTTTAGTATTAATTTTTCTCATACATAAATTGGGGATGAGATAATAAATGCCAAGTATGCACAATGCCCTAGTAAATGTTAGCTATTTCAACATAATTGTTAATATAAGATCTGATTTTTTTGTAGTGATAGATTTGGAACCCAGGATCTTATACATGGTAGGCAAGGGCTCTGCCACTGAACTATATCCCTAGTCCTGTATTTATTTCTTAAAATAGATTCTGTTTTACCTATCAGTTGATGACTTTAAAGAGTGGAAGATATATGGCACATGCAATTTCATAAAATGCTTCCCATTTCTGCTAGAATGGTGTGACTTTGAACAAGTACCCATTTGCCTCAAAGCCAAGCAGTAGGCCTGAGTCATTGCCCATGTCACCCTTTATATTGAACTTTGTGTTTCAACTCTTTCACCCCTCTGAATGTCAGCACAGTTGTCAACTAATGCCATGCTGGAAAAAGTGGGTGTGTGAGCTTGAGTATAGTGACTTTCAGACCAAAATAAAATCTGGCACTGCCAGATTCCTGTGGGTGTCTGTGGGCTCCATGAGAGCTGTTGCCTGTGACATCTTTGCTTCTTGATGTATGATTTACATTAACTCTTTAACTCACTCATCATTTGCCTGCCAATTTCAGGAACTCCTAATTATCATCTGCCCATTACTCTAAGGAACTGACTTTTATTAATGGGAACTGAAGAGAGATTTTGAAAATCCATTGGCCTATTATGGTCATTATCCTTGTTGAATTTATCATTTTAAAAACTGGGATTTGTGGTGGGAGTGAGAGGAAGAGCCAGTGCTCCAACAGCTGAGGCTGAGACTCTTTGGGGCTTTGAGAAGAAATCTTGGGGGCCGTACTGGGTGGCTATTGTTGGGAAAGTACAATTGCCCTGGAAGCTGAGACAGCAGAGCGTGCCAACCCTTTAATCACCAACATTACTGGCCTTGCCTCAGTAAATCTTCTGTTTCACTGGAAAAATTCATAAATAGTATAGTAAGATGGAATATTGGGTTGCGTTTTTAGATCTCACATTATATGTGCAGAGGGACTTTCCATAGTATATTTTTTATGATGGCTCCAAGAGGTAACTCAGTAGTGTAAACCCCATTGCAGATCCTAGGAGAGATGGCAGTTACTCTAGAGCACACAGAGGAAAGCCTAAGGCTTCTCTGAAGAGTTTCTTCCCTTGATGATGAACTCTAGGACCTATCCTGAACTCTCTGTGTATAGAAAGGACTAGTGGGAGTTGGTGTCTCACTGCATATTTATCACTTCTTTAGAGCAAGATATGTATGCCTTTAGTTGGCATTCTCTGGCTTTTTCTTGACCTCTTTGGCTCAGAAGCCAAAGAAAATCTGACTCAGGTGTTTATGGAATCTGCTTTAGATTTGAGTTTTATTTATTGGCAATGGGATCTTGGCAATGTTACTTGCATTTGTTGAGTTTGTTTTTCTCATCCATGAATTGGAGAGTATAATCTACCTTATAAGGTTGTGAGAAGTGAATCAAAGAATGTGCACACACACACACACACACACACACATACATACACATGCATATCAGAGAGTATATGTAAATCATTTAGCTCAATGTCTGGCATTAAATTGGTACTCAGTGACTTGTAGTTGTTATTGAGTATACTAGAAATGTAGTAGAACTTAATTTATAGGCAAAGGTGATGGTTTGATGATACTTCCCAAATTAACTGCCAAAGGAAAATGTAGAAGCATAAAATGTCAGTATTGGCAGGGACCTTAGAGCATCTAGTTAAGTTATGTCTAATATAGCTTCATACCAGAATCTCCTAGGGATCTTATTCATCCAGAATCTTAGGACCTATCTTAGACCAAAATAATCAGAATCTCAGTGGGCATTGTGGAACCCCAGCACAGGTCTCAGGCCCTTTCAAACTGTGCTCCTTGGGTCCTCAGTGTCTTCCATCCACACAAGCTCAAATTAAGTAGCTTTTTGTACTGTACTCCCATGTACAAATTTGCTTGAACAATGTAATTTACAGATTAAAAGAGAAAAGAAGTTGATAACTTTTAGATTGCTTGACAGACACATTTTACACAAACTAATGAGAGAGAGAGAGAGAGAGAGAGAGAGAGAGAGAGAGAGAGAGAGAGAGATTGAGTTAGTTCATGCTCATTCAACATACTGGAAACTGAGACTTAGAGGTAGGGAAGTAATTGTTGAATGTCTCACACAGCTAGATAGTGCTAGATTAGTACTAAAATCTGTGTATTCTAAAGCCCAATTCATTAAATGAACATATTTGGGGTTACTGGGGATTGAACCTAGGGGTGCTTAACCACTGAGCTACATCCCCAGCCCTTTTTTGTATTTTGTTTAGAGGCAGGATCTCACTGAGTTGGTTAAGGCCTCGCTAAGTTGCTAAGGCTGGCTTAGTTAAATAATTTTTTTTTTAATTAAGTACCTACTATGAAATATCCTGTCCTCATAGAATTTTCATTCAGTTAAGTTTCAGGATGAACTTCAGGCAGATGACTTTCTATATCAT